TGTTAATTGTTTTTTTCTTTCTTTCCTTGTTTTGGTGAGGCAATTGGGGTTGTGACTTGCCCAAAGTCACACAGCTAGTGAGTGTTATGTATCTGAGGCTGGATTTGAACTCAGGTCCTCCTCACTCCAGGGCTGGTGCTCCATCCACTGAGCCACCTAGCTGCCCCTGATTGTTTTTCTCTTAAGACTTTAAGCTCACAAAATTATTATCCATTAAAATATAATGGGTTTAATTTTTGTATTTTACAAAGTATCTAAAAACATCTCTAGAAGTCTACAAAGCATTTTAAGCTCCTTTTCAGAAGTGCAAGTTTTCCAGTTTTCCTACATATGTACTTCAAACAAGTCACACAAAGATAATAGTGAGCTGGTCAGTAGTATGAACTTGTGGAAACTCAATGTATTGTGAGATAAAGCTAAAAAACAATATTGAAAGCTTTTCAAATTTCCCTATCTCTGTTTCCCTACTATAAAAAGCAAAAAATAGCAAATAAAATAGCAAATTTTTGTCCCTAGCAAAAATTTCAAAAAGATTTTATTTTTGTTAATGCATAGAGTTTCATGGGCCTTTCACGTTTAGGTAAAATACCTTCAGAGTATGGATTTTTTTTTTCATTTTGTCATTATTATCTTTGGGAGCACTGAACACAGCAGACACTTAAATCTTTGAAATAAACTGCAGTTTGATTATACTTGATTTCATCCAATAAAATCTGAGTTTAAAACTTTTAAGAGCAGTGACTCTGATAATTATTTCAAATGAAAGCTACATCCCTGCAAGAAAGTCCTTTGAAATTTAAAACAAACAACTAAAATCTCAACCACTTTCCTTCATTCAGGGTACTTTACAGACATCTCTAAGAAAACTTTGTCTTCCTCTTTGCGGCATGATGTAGAATACTGAGAGTTGAACAAGGGCAATTAAGGAAACACAACAACTTTTCAAGCTTTCCTTTAAGTCAGATGTCTCCAATCTTTTTTTGGGGCTATTCCTGTATCTGATTTCCTCCATTAGTACAAATAATCAAGAATAGATAATAAAAGGTTAACTGCACATCTGTGAACATTGCACTTTAAAAAAAAATAAGTGTTTTATTAAAAATGTAATATTGAAGCTCAACACAGCCAATTTAGCTTGGCAAGTAACTACTCACATTCAAATCAACTAATTTCAACATATTAACTGTAACATTATTTTCATTCACACTCTTAGACCCCATCAGGATTCTTTGTCTCTTAATTGTAATTCATTTTTCCTCTCCTGTGTTCCTTGTTATTATGTATTCTGATCTTCCAGGACTGCTTTTTAAAATTTTACTTTGTATTTCATAAAAGTCTGTTCTGACACCTCTTTTCTTCAGTGTTGGTCTTAACTGGATTCTACTACTTTTAGGTACTAGATTCAAACATTCTCCAATTTGTTGGACATTTACTTGCTTCTAGTTTTTTGTTTGGCAATTGCAGATAATTTTAAAACAGTCTTTGAAGGGGCTGTTTTATTGTTGTTATTGCTTTAAATCACACCCTCAGGATATATTCCCAACAATGGAATTATTTATTCAAAGCGTATATATAGTCAGTTTTGTATTTGTAAAATACAGTTTACTGTGTATTGCCAGATTTGCCCCTACAGTCTTCAAGTTTGCAATTCATCAAAGAATGAGAAGACTCTAATGTTTTTTATACTGTTTCTATATCCTATATGATTGTCTGAATCTGTGCTATCAGGTGGCATAGGTAAAGTCAGGGTTCTATCTGTACATAAAAGGTCTGCGTAGACTATTTAGTAGAGCACCATGCTGAATTAGGCATTTTAAAAACGCTGATGTGGAGGAATTCTACTATAATAGCTGACAGTCAATTAAACTCTGTTTATGAAAAGCATGAGTACTACAGGAGGGATTCCAAGTAGTATTTGATGGAATCCCTATACTCAAAGAGATTACAATTTAGTAGAAAACCATAAATATACCATATCAAAGACTTAAATAAATGACAAAATGAGAGACAGAAACAATAGGTGCTATAGGAGATCGAGGAAAAAAAGATAAACGGTCATCAGGTTTCATGAAAGGGACAAAATGTGAAGGGATTTGAATAGGAAGAGTAAGGAGAAAGGCATTAAGGATGACTCACTTTTTCCCTTACAAAAAATTAATCTATATTTAAAAGTAATGACTGTGCAATAAAAAACAAAGGGCATCAATAAAACTTAGGACACTCGCCAGTCTCTGGACAATGACTTTTAGGTGAACCTCCTCACCATCTGGTTTTCATGGGTCAATTATCTAGTTTGTAGATTCAGAACCTTAGGCCATTTTCAACTGTTTCCCTGGGGTTTTGGGTGTACAAGTGTGTGCAATCACTAGAACAAGGGCAAGAAGAAGTGAAATTTAAAGAAGTGATAATTCTTCCTAGCTAAAAGATTCGGCAAGGAAGAAGTTATTGGCTCATGGTTTCTATATTACCCTGATTTCATATTCAAGCTTCACTTGACCAGGAAAAAATGAGTCTTGACTACTTAAAGGAAGCAGGTTCAGCTAGCACAAGAGACAATAAATGTCTGTTGTTGTAAATGAGATCTTAGAAAAGAGCTGAAAGACCCAGGAGATCAAGGTTGACCAGGTAATCTTAACTTCAGGTCTGTGAATTTTTTTCAATATTTTGATAACTGTATTTCAATATAATTGATTCCCTTTGTAATCCTTTGTATTTTATTTTATGCATTAAAAACCTTATCCTAATAAGAGGCATAAGGAGATTGGCAAAGGGGCTTCTCAAGGGGAAGAGAATGAACATGTATATAGGCACCTACCATGTGCCAGACACTGTGCTAAGCACTTTACAAATATTTCTTTTGATCCTCACAAAAACCCTGTGATGAGGTGAATACTGTTATTATTCCCATTTTTCAGTCAGGGAAACGTAGGTTAAGTGACTTGCCCAGAATCACATAGCTAAGTGTCTGAGGCTGAACTTGAATTCAGATCTTGCTGGTTCCAGGTCCAGTGTTCTCTTCCCTAAGACAACTAGCTGCTTGTCTCCATGACATAAAGGTCAAGAAGCCCTCCCTAATTAAAAGCAACTCAATTCTAATTCACCAGATATTTATAAGCAATTATTTTTGTGCAAGGCACCATTCGAGGGACTAAACAAAGACACAGAGAAAAGGAAAGGTCTTGCCCAGATGGAGATTACATTCATTTAAAGAGAAGAAAAGGGTCTTGTGAATTCTGCCATGTTCTCCTCCTCTCCCACCTCTAACTATGCATTCCTGAAGACAATGTTCCAAGTTTAAGGCCTATTGCCTCATTTTCTCCAGGTTTGAAATCACTCTTTTCCCTTTAGGTCTAGGTGACACCTCCTACCCGACCTCCCTCCTTCCCTCCCTTCCTCTGAAAATGATAACTCACTTTTCAAATTTTTTTCCCCTCCAAAGTCAACATTTTTTTTTTTTAAACAAGAAAAGGGAGTTT